TTAATTTTATCTGTAAATTCCCTTCAGCAGTGCCCAGATTATTGTTTGATTAAATAACTGGAAGTTGTGTGTGCATTCGGGGAAAGGGCAATTTGGGGGCCACTTTAGAATTTTGTTTGTGACAACATAACTAAACAATCCAGGGATGCGTCTAACTGACGGCATGGCTGGATCCAAGGGACCTCACTCTGGTCAGGACTCAGACTGCCTGTCTTTCAGCGTTGCTCCTGCGGAAGAGCTTCATTGTCAAGTGGGCTTTCCTCACAAGGTGGTAAAAACAGCTCCTTGTAGACCATGCTTCCATGGGCTCACTCAGACAGGGTCCATTCAGCCAGTCTGAGAGGGCCTTTGATTGGCATGCCTTTGATTGGCATGCCTTTGATTATGTGCCTACCCTAAAACCAGTCATCCTGTCGAAAGGGGTATGTATTCTGATTCTCCAGACTTAGGTCACATGTCCATCTTTGAGCATGAAGTCATCCTAGCCCAAATAACTAAGAGACTGGAGGAGAGATGCTGTTTAGGCAAAATGTAATGTATTTAGGCATATTACATACAAGGACAAGAGACTTGAAGGAACTACTATGTCAAATATTGTAAAAGAAGTCAGTTAGGAAAGAGCCACCGCATATCAAAGGCAGAAAACCATCTGAAAGAAAGAGGAAGAAGTTTACTTAAAAAAAAAGCGCTTGACATCAAACTCCAAGAGTTTAAGATGCACCTGGTAAAATCCGGTATTGTGTTGATACTACATGTGATCATGTTTGTTGGGGAACAGGAGAAGGTGACAGCCATTTGGGAATGTATCAGGGTATGGGGAAGGTCTTTCAGGAATAGCAATGACTGATATGTTTGCAAGAAGTTTCTAGTGAAGGCAAAACACTGGAGGAGAGACAGAGGGCCGAGCTGACCCCAATGGGACCTGACGCCAGTTAGAGAACAGACTAAGACCCAAGACTGAGCCACCAAAAGTTTTCCCAGATTATAAAGTGTGTGAGCTTGTTTTTCAGGTCATCTGTCACCTCTTTGGAATAGACAGGTATCAGTCCTTCCAATGTGGCCATCTTATAGTGATTAAATGTATTCAAAAGATCCTTAGCCTCTGTCTGGCTATCTAATTGACAGAAAGACTTACCTCAGAGCCATGGTTCTCAAAGGGTGGTCCCTGGACCAGCAGCAGCAGCAGCATCACCTGGGAACTGGTTAGAACCCAAGTTCTCTGGTCCCACCCCAGGCCCACTGAATCAGAAGTTCTGGATGTGGGACCCAGCAGTGTGGTTGAACAAGACCTCCAGGTTTTTCTGAGGATGGTTCAAGTTTGAGAGGCCCTGCGTACATCTCCCCTCCACATACCGCAAAGGTTTCCTTAATAGTGGCTTTTGAAAAGCTGTGAGCATCAAGGATATAGGTTCCTGGTGACCTGGGGTGGGGAGGGGGTTGTAAATCTTGAAAGGAGATGGCGACTGTTCAAAAGCCACTCATAACTAAAAATATAGTGCACTGGAAGAACAGAGGAGCGAATGCTAGGTTATCACTTAATTGTTCTCCAGTGTACGGAGGGAGGGCTTTCATTGGGATGGTAGTCATCATCGGAACTCTAAGTCCCTGGAGGACAGAGATAAATGAGAAGGACTTAAATTATAGCTGAAGAATAGTGATTCCTTTGGAGTACAGGTTAAGTCGTAGAACAGGTTTTGGAAATGGATCATTTAATTTAAATGCAGGCTCTTCTAATAGACACTCTTAGGAGGCTGCAAAGGAAGGGCATGGCGAGGGTTCTTTCATCAAGGAGCTTAAAAGCTTTTCAAGCCTTCAAGACTTAAATAAATCCAGCGGAATATAAAAGGACAATATAACAGAGTGCTGAATTGAAAAGGACCTTGGGTTAAAATGTGTGCTACAGACTGTAAGTGCTGTGGGCAGTCAGGGGAAGGAGGAGTTGGCGTGGTATCATGTTCTTCCCTGGCCGGGATGAATCCGTCAGCCTGGCGTGATTTCCCAGGCCTGGTGGCGGGCTGTTGGGCAGCGTGGCTTCAGGAAGCCCCTTTCCTTGCCCTCTCTTTTCTTTCTGAGTGTTCTAGCTTGTCAGAACTACTGAGTCAAAGTGAGGGTTTGTATTTTAAGACTGAACTTGGAGTATTATTATTTTTGGTTTTATGAGCAACTCGGAGGAGAAATTACATTTTATCCTGGATGTCTTAAATGGAAAGAGACTCAGGTAAAAGTTTGGCTTATTTGTTTCAAACAGCTTTTCAAACATACTCCATCGTGGGGAGAACATGAATAAGCCCGTCGGAGGAAGCCTTCGTTTCAAATGGCAAGGAAAGCGAATTACGTACTGATTTTCCTTAGTGGAAGAAGTAAATTGTACCAGATTTGGGGTGTAGGAAACAAGAAAACACAATTAAGTTGAACAAAACATTTTCATTGCTTTTTATTTCTCTACATCTTACTACTCACATGGGTAAGTAAACAGGTAACCAAACCAAGAACCAAGACAGGTTTTCAAGACACTCTTTTTTAAAAATAATTTTTTATTTTTCAGTTACCATTGACATACAATATTATATTAGGTAGGTGAGCATAAATTCCATTTAAATGTGTGAGAGAAATTTTAAAAAGATCTGATAGTCTAGAGGAAGCCAGCAAATTTGAAACCTAATGCAAAGTACTAAAAAGATTTTTTTTTCAGACATTTACATGTAGTATGATCTGTTTTTAGCTCTTTTTAGGAGGGTTTTCTTAACTCCAGCTGTGGCACGCAGGTGTTAACAAAGAGCTTCTATTTCTTGTGATGATGGGGTGACTTGAGATGCATTCGGAAGTCGGCCTTTGCTGTCGCATCAGGTTTAAGACCTGCACGGAACGGAGTTCCTCTCACAGAAATCACTCCGCCTTCGTGGCCCTGATGACCCAGGCAGTCAGGAAGAAGAATCAGCTTTTATTTCAAGACATGAAGAACAGTTCTGTTGCTTATCTCTCTCTTTTTTTTTAAATAAACTATAATTGACATGTAACATGATATTAGTTTAAGGTGTACAACAATGATTTGATCTATTTATATATTGCTAAGTGATCACCACAATAACTCTAGTTAATATTATAAAGTGTGTTGCTCATTGCTTGATTTTGAGCAAGGAGACCCAGTTGAAAAGGCCAGGGAGAAAGCGCAGAGATGAAGTAGGAATCGGCTGTACGTCTCCAGATGACACTCAGGCTGCGCCTGCTCGCTGGGAGCTCCCTGAGACTAACCCCACCCCCATCCGCTTCTCTGCTCCAAAGTTACTTCTGCAAGCAGTGCTTTCTGGGCTCCTCCCTCTACATGGGGCACCAGCCCAATTATAAGTGCAAATCACGGTGCTTATTTGCCCTTTATAATGCCTGTCCAGCCTTCAAATTGTGTACATAGACTAAGAGTATACTATGATTCTTAATATCCTTCCCCATGAGGCAAGGAGGTCCCTAGAAGCGTGGTGTGTGTCCGTTTTGTTCACACTGCCAACGTAGAACCCGGTGGATATACTAAGCACCAAGTAACAATGTGGCGAGTGAATGAATTAATTAATAAGAAAGCACTTTAGAAACTGTATTCATTATAAAAGCATGATTAATTATATCAGTAGCAGACATCTCCTCTCTCTCTCTCCTGTCCTATTTTTTTTCTCTCCATTTTTTAGTTCTTTATTTTGAGGTAGATTTGTCAGTGTTTTACCAATTCCAGAGCTAAGATTTGACATTTTTCATTGTTGCCTTTTTTTGAAATAAGGGACCACTTTTTCTCTCAAAAATATTACACCCACAGTGTAAGTGCTGCCGCTCCCACCTTTGTTCAGCATGTGCTCGTGACTTTGAAAGGCCCTTGGGGATGATTTATTTGGGAGGCAAACAAGACCTCAGCATAGCAGTCAGTTCTCTTTTCTGTTGTCCCCAAAGCCACTCGTGTGTGTTCCTATACCTCAAGAATGCTCCTCAAGGATTCCCAAGTCCAAACACTTGATAACATTGGCCCAGGAAACGCTGTTTCTGGCTCTGTCTTCAAGGAGGGGAACAATGTTAAAATCCAGGTGTAGAAAACATTAATGATCAGAATATGAATAGGTCTTTTCTTTAAAAGCAGCAAACAAAAGTTATCCAAGAAGGACCTTCCCCAGCAGGTCCTCAGCGCCCACTGCTGTGTGTGAGTGTTGTCCTTGGTGGACGGAAATGGCAGACAGCCATGTGGGAAATGTCACAGCCCCACAAAGCTCCAAGGCACTAAACACTGCAGACCAGCAGTCCGGGGAGCCAGATGGCCTGGCCCCGAGCTTGGTGCACCTGCGCGTGCCTCTCTCGCCGCCTTCCCCTCCCCCTTCCTCTTCCCTTCCTGCTCCAGGCCCTCAGTTTCTTTCTCCTCTGTCATCCCTCCCTGGAAGGAGGAATCTTAGCCTGGTGGCCCTTGCAGCCTAGATGTTTAGGTGCCCCGGGGACAGTTGATTGTTGGCGGCTGGCCAAGGCTGGCTTTATATTCTGGCTAGGAGCTCAGTAACAGGCTTATGACCACTAATAATACATTGCGTTTACATAGTGCCTTTCTTGTCAGGAACTGTGAGTGCTTTGCAAGAGTGATCTTATTGATCTTCCCAACAACCCAGTGAAGTATGAAAATGGCAAAAGGTCCTAGCTCCCTCCTTTCTGCAGAGAGGAAAACCAGGTGGCTGATTTTGAGGCTGTGTTGTAAGTTTGCATCTCAGCTGGGATTGCCTCTGAAGTCTCCCAGAATCGGCTTCAACTTTCTGGGGGGCAGGGAGGAGCAGGGCAGAAGGTTAGCCGTGCCATGCCACTGTGTCTCCTGGGGCAAGAGCGAAATTATTGAATTTCTTTTTTACAAAATGGTACAGGAAAATGGTCTTTGGTGAATGATCAGTTAGTCTCATTGATCGTGAACTTTATTTGTTGTGATAATGACTGATTTGATGATGCATTGACCTTTTTCTTTCTCTTCTGCTCTGTTCCTGTGCTAGGTTTTTCTCCCTTCTCTGTGACGGAAGAAAGAGCACGCCTGAGCCCAGGAGCACTCCAGCTCTCGCGGGAAGTCTCCATGGTGAAGGAAGGCTGGGGCTCCCGGTGAACCGCGCACGGTGAATGTTGTAAGTGAAGAGGGCGGCACTTGCAGTGTCTGCCTCGCAAGTTGTGAATCACTGGATGCAGCCGAGCCAGGGTGGTGAAGGGGTGTTCATGTCAGTGCTAGGTGATCATCCAATTAATTTCTTTTTTTAGGGGAGAGGCTCTGTTCTTATTTGCTGCGAACGTGCCTTTCTCTTAGCTTCCATGGGGCACTTCCCATTTTCTCCTGTAACGAAAGAGTGGAACACGGTGATTCTTTCGTTGTGGAAACGTCCATGCTCCTGGTACAGTCAAGTGGTCAAGTTCAGGGCAGCCTTGCACTTCTTATAGGTTGGTGGGGAGGGGTCACATTCTCCAGGCGAAGGATTAGTAACCAGGATTGCACCAGCCGTTATTTTTGTTATGTGACGTGTTTGATTGGAATGAATTATATTTTTCCAGTTTCTTAAAAGAGTTTGAAAAACAAGGTGCAGTAATATGAGGGCATGTATCAGAGAGAAAAAGCGTTAATGTTGAGAAGAAAAATTTCTATTGAATTTTTTTTTTTTATTTCATGCTTTTTCTACTTATGTGTGTTAAGGGATGCATATCCACATACGTGGGTTAAATAGTCGAACGGAAGTGAGTTTGTTGCATCAGCAGTCTCCCAGTGCGTCCTAGTGAGCTGACTTGAGCAGTGCTGGCGTTCCCATGTGTTTGCATTTTGTATGTGTGAGCATGTTGGTTGTGGTGGAAAGTACACAGCTCCTAGAATCGATTTACCTGAATCGTACTCCTGGTCCTGTTTACAAGGACAAGTAACGTCGCAACCTTGGGCAAGTCACTAAGCCCCATGAAGTGTTATTTTCTGAGTTCGGAGATTGCTCCATGCTACTTGCTTATTGGTCTGTTGGCATCTTGGTTTGGGGTCCCCATGAGGGGCAGAGCATCATGTGAGGCATTTTAATTCTTAATAGAAAGTATCTCTTACTGTGAAAGTTTGTATCAATCTTAAGGAATACTTGGGGGCCCTGTTAGATTTGGGTGTTACAGTAGCAGTGTGTTTTACTAGACGTTGTTTTCTGACTCAGGTAGGTTAGAATGGACTTCCGGAGATGTTTTTTTAAAGCATTTTCATCCTAGGAAGCAAGCATCTTGTGGAAAAGTGGTTTAGGTTTCAGATTACATTTAAATGAGCACTGCAGTCACTGGAATCAAGATAGCTTTTTGTTTCCCTCTTGTAGTGGTATATTGGTTGTTTTTTTTACCTTTGCTTTGAACGCTCATGTGATACTAGGCCAAGCCTCAAACACTGAGTGAGGTTTTTCAAAGGTATTCTGAATGTAAACTTCCAGCTACTACATGGCCAACGTGAAGTCACTGTGAAATCCTTCTCCAAAAGAGGTAGTCTGAGGGTGAGGAAGAAAGCACCAAGTTCTAATGAACTTTAGAAGTAAGAACTTTATCTTCCAAATCGCATTTGCTTGGACGGTGGCGAGGGGAAGGGTGGGGGTCCCAGTTTCCTTAGTAAATTTTAAAATTGGTAACTTTTTGTATTCTTGGTGCATTTTTAGAACACTGAGTTTATATTTCTCCCTTACTTGCAGGCCCCAGGGGATTTTCAAAGAATATGTGCCTGCTCATAGATGGGGTGTATCTGAACATTTGAGCAATAAACGTAACAGCCACTGAATGCATGGTGTGCGTCCTCAGCAGTCCTTGCAGACTGTACCCCAAACTCATAACCTCTGCAGAACCCCTCTTGTTCCCGTTAGCCCCCGCTCAGGTCTGCCACCTTCTTCCCAGCAGAGGGACTTAGCTCCTTACAGTGGCTCACGCTGGCTCTGAGGTGTGCGTCTTGTACAAGAAACGAGTGCCAATGAGAGCTGACCTAAGAATCAGGAGACCTGGGTTTTTACACCTGATACTGCAGTTACCTGTCTAACCGTGGGCCGCTGCAGCCCTGACGGCCCATTTTGTGAGAAGTAACGTGAGAACGTTGATTTAGATGAGCTCCAGCGATTCTCTTGGCTCCCAGTGGCTAACATTGCATAAGGGATCAGGCTTGGCGATGGACCTTCGTTTACCTTCTAAAAGTCAGTGATTTTACACAACTTGAATTGACAACGGTTTTTAAAATGTTAAGCACAGTCTTACGGTTAGAAACAAATTACTGTCTCTGTCACTGTCATGATACCCTCTCCCCAGGACCCTCTCAGGCACCATGGGACAGTTCTCAAAGGTGTTCACCAGAGTGCTCCCTGAGAATGTAGTTTCAGTCCTTCCTGTTTAGGGTCCACACCCAGCGGTCTGCTTGAAAATTAAATATGAGCCATTTTGGAAATTAACTTTTTAAAAACGGTCCACCTTCATCTTCAAATATTGCTTAGTACATAAGCAAGGAGGTGGTGATCTACATTTCTTTCCTAAGCTTCTCTGCTTCCTTAAATAGGACTTCTCAAGTTACCCTTTCAAAGGAGCCTTCCCGACCTGTGTAAAATAGCACCCATCCCTCTCTATCCTCGAGCCTACTTTATTGCTTCAGGCACCTTATGTATATTATATATTTATTTTTTTAATCGTCCATTTCCTTAACTAGACTTTAAGCTCCATGAAAGCAAGGATGATGATGATTACGATGATTACCATTATGATTATTGTTTTCTGGTGACTCTATAAGACCTAAAATGCTGCTTGGCCCACAGTGGGCACGCAGTTGGTATTTCAGTGACTGTCTAAGGACAGAGTAAACCTGTGCCTGGGCTTCTCGCCTGTGGCCTGAGCCATCAGTAAAAGGGGCATAAACAAAGTCCTGATGAGAACTGGGTAGGGGGTGGCTCCGAGGGACTGGGCTGTTTTCTTTCATCCTTAGAAGTAAATGCTAAGTGTCTATGATGTATTTAAGTAAATGTGGGAATGGAAACAATTTGTTACATATGTAAAAAAGCTTTTATAGCGCTATCAATAGAGTTTGGGGATTTTCTGATACATTTATTAAAAAACGTCTGCACTGTGTATGTTTCCTCTGCTTTTCCGTTTCAGTGGTTTGTTCTATTGCCTCGTTGTGAGCAGCCTGCCTGGGCATTCTGTGGAAGGTGGTGGTTTTGGTGGTTTTGCCTCTTATAATCACACCCTGTTATGACTGTTTATGTTTATATTTATTCCCAAAGCGGGAACCTGGCTTGAGGTGCTGCTGAATCTCCCTAGAAGCTCAACCTTCACTGGAGAGCATCTTTTTTATTCCGTCCCCTTTTGGGTGACGCCCAGTGGGAATGAAGGAATGGCATGGCCCCCATCCAGCTCATCTCCTCTGTGTGGTGTGAAAGGCCAGGGGAGGCATCGTTCTGCGTTGCTTTTGTGCATCACAATAATAAAGGTTTCTTGAGTTTTGTGTGTTTTTCGGCCCCCTTTTGAGAATAACTCCTCTGAGTGCAGGAGTTACATATTCCTCGGAAGAAATTGAAAGATTAAAATAGACACCTCTGTGCCTATTTGCTCAGTATTATGCCGTCTTCATAAGCTTTGAACCTTGGAAGCTGATTTCTAGCCTCCAGAGTAAGAGAATTACACATCGGCCTCTAATAAGAGTGATTTGGGGATCTCCCTCTCTGTTAGTTTGTACCTTTTAGATTTGCCAGCGATCGATCCTCCAGCACTGTCATCAAAACAAAACAAAACCGAGGTACAAAAGGGAGTCAGGCGAGAAGGGGAGATTTCACTGCTGGATAATGAAGAAAAATAGTCTCTCTCTTTTTTTCCCAGCGCTTGCTTATCATGCATGGGCTTGTCAGTTGGCCTGCACATTGCAAAGACTCTGACTGAGCACGTGCCGCCCAGGTTTCTGTGTAGCCTCCAGTCCTCGCGGGCTTTCTGTTCCGCCCGGTTCTTTCTGTTTCCCAGACTCCTTGCAGTTCCTTCTCGTTGATAGCCTCACTCATTCCTGGCCATTGCCCCTTTGGCGGGGCCTTTGCAAGAGCTGCTGCTTCTGAGAGTTGATGTCAGAGCGACTTCCTGAGTGGTTGGCAAAGTCTAGCACATCCCAGGCACACCCTTCCCCTGGCGGCGTCATCCCTGAACGCTCAGCCTCCTCTCAGCATTTCGGAGCGGAGAAGGGAAACCCACAGAGCACCTGGCAGCGGGGAAGGAAAATGTCCATGTGTCTTCCACCACATTCATGTCCTTGGGGAAAAGCATCAACAGCCTGGTAGCTGCTTTCTAACTGAGCAAGGCTGAGGTAAAAGGGTTTTGCGTCCTACTTAAGTTTCCAGTACACTGAAAAAATAATATTTATTAAGAGACTATCTGTGTCAAGGTGTGCTAACCTCTGTTAGGGACACAGCGACGAGCAGCCTGTCCTCTGAGACTCTGACAGGCCGCGTGGGAGGCTGTGCACCAGGGCTCCCTGCAGGAGGGGGAAGGGTCCTCAGGGGTGGGTTTTCAGGGGAGGCTGTGAGGACTGCTGAGGAGCGCAGTTAGGCCTTGAAGCGGAGGTAGGATTTCAGCCCAGTATACGCATGTGTTTTGAGATGGCGAAGGAGGGAGAGGGGGTAGAATGGGTCTTTTTTGGGGGAGACCTTTCCTCATCTGAGATATTTTCCCATTGATTTTTAGATAGAGTGGAAGAGACAGAGAAAGAGACACATCTGTGGGTTGCCTCCCACATAACGCCAACCAGGGCTGTGAATCAAACCTGCAACCCAGGTATGTGCCCTTGACCGGGAATCAAACCCACAACCCTCTGGTCCATGGGCCAACACTCTAACCACTGTGCCAAACCGGCCAGATCTAGATCAAGTCTTCTATTCATTCATTCATTCATTAATTCATTCATTCATTCATCCATTCTTTATTGATTTTCGAGAGGTGGGGAGAGAGAGAGAGAGAGAAACATCAATGAGAGAGAACATCAATTGGCTGCCTCCTGCATGCCCCCTCCCCACACTGGGGTTCAAGCCCGAAACCTGGGCGTGTGCCCTGACCAGGAATCAAACTGGCGACCTCTTGGTCCGTGGGTCAATGCTCAACCACTGAGCCACACCAGCTGTGCTCAGGTCTTTGATTTAACTGCTTCTGCATCTGGGCAGATGAGAGCTCAGAGTCAGAAACTTCTTCCCATCGGAAATAACCACTGACAGACATAGAAAGGGATTTGTAGCCCCTGGGAACCATTCTCCTCTAGGGGATTATTTTATATATTTATCTTCAAAAGCTGAAGCAAGAACTTGGACCACTTAAAGGAACAATGCCTCTCAACCCTAATAAGTAGAGTGTTTTGAACTTGGACTACAGACAGAAGCCACGCCCAAAACTAAAAATGTGTTCCTCAAGTGGTGTATCTTTGAAGTGCTGGCTGTTCAAGAGTCCGCATGCATGAAGGAAGGAAGGACAAGGGAGGCGGGAGAGTGGCGCTGCCCAGGAAGGACAGGACTGAGCCACTGAAAGGTCTTCCAGAGAGAGATCAAACAATTCCCACGCTTTCGACACATCGGAGGCCAGTCGGCTCCATCGTCTTTGTTAGAATATTATTGATATATGTCATTTCTCACAAAATACGTCATACCCTAGGATCTGAATTATTTTCATTATTCTTTAGTATATGTGCTGCCGAAGTGAGCCCTATTTTCATTATTCTTTAAAAGGTTGTTCTCTCTTTTGCTTTCTCACAGAATAGTGAGGCACAAATAGGAACTAAATTAACAGTGTTTTGTCATAAAGCCAAAACAATCTGTTGGTCCTTACCAGCAAGTAAATTATTCCTTGGGACTAAAGTAAAAAGACAAATAGAAAGATAAGTTTATTCTTTTAATTCCCTAGCTCTTTTTTTTTCTTTTATAAAATAATCAGTTTTTAATACCAGAAAAATAATTTAAGAACTCCCCCAACATATATTAAATGTCAAATGGTAGCTATGTAATAAATCATGCTAGGTGGAATCTTAAATTGAGAGAATTAATACATCTTGTATATGTTCTAAGGATTATGTTAACCTCTTACAGACACCCGAATAAGTATGTTACATGATTCAGAAAAAGTAATTTACAACAAGTATAAAGTGCTTTTTAGAAGAGAAAGTAAAATTAGCTGTTTGTAACCTATGTTGGAGGAAGTTAGTTTTTCTAAGTTATTTTTTCTATTTCTACCTTCATTCTGAAACAATTTCCTTAAGTAGAATCCCCCAAAATAGAAATACTAATGGGATACAAAAGGCAGTCTCCCTTTAGAATCTTTTATTTACAATACTCTGGCAAGTTCTTGTTGTTATGTTCTTTGGACTCTTATCCTCTTCTTCCATCTCTAAATCCCTTCTTTCCCAGTACCTCTATCACACGTCTGTAACATCTCCTGTCCAGCTTAAAGTGTCTGAACCTGGGATAGGACTTCCCACAGTGGTGGCAGAACCCGCGGTTTAGGACCCCTGCACAGGGCTGGGCTGAGTTACGTACGCCCTTCCCTCTGCACGCGAGCCAGCTTTGCGGACACCGGGACACCCTGCATGGTGCTTCTAGCAATGACACGTGCTTGCTAAAATCATTTTCTAAAATTTCCATTAGGTTGCTCTTCGTTTCTAGTTGCTTTTTTCTTTTCACATTTTTGTAGCTTTCATAGAACTGAAAAATTGTAATTTCTCCGGGGCTAAAATCCAAAGCTTGAACAGGCAGTCTTAATGCCTGGGGCTCCTGTGAGTTGCTATCCATTATATGCATTGTAAAACTCATCCTGCAGAACAAAGAGTACTGGGCAAGGATGATTCCCTTTTTCTACCATGGCCAGCCCTAGTGTTCCAGGCTCTTTTGGCTTTTCTTCTTTGTTCTCTAAGAAAAAGGGGTATTCATGACATTAGGATGCTGTCGTTCAGAAAGGGGCAACTATTGCCTATACAAGCAGATTGTCCCCCTTTCCTTTGGCAACCTCAGTTGCTTTCCCTGTTTCTGACTCTCCTGCTTCTGCTCTGAACAACCTCCCTCCCCCCACATTCAGGAGACTAATAAATGAAATATGCAAATGTCCGTTGGTTCCTGCACATCTACCAGCTCCATAATTCAGAATAGAAGCCATGTCGCCCTTATCTTAAGCGAGTTTCTTTCCCCTTCTTTGTCACCAGCACGTCAAGCACAAGTGCAGATTAAAGGGTAGTATGGCAAGGTGAGAGCTATCCGCTGGGTAATGTTAGTCTGTCACTCCCCTTTAGCAGAGCAGATTAGCTGCCAATCGGTATCTTGTTGCTGTCATCGGAGTTTGGAATCCAGGTTCCCTGCTCTGCTCGCGATCTATTTCTGTGCCCCAGCAATGATGCCAGTTGTCCTAGCAACCTGCTGGCTGACACTTCCCTAAAGGCAAGCGAGGAAGTGGCTGTGGGCCTCCAGAGGGTCAAAAGAGAGTTGGCAGTCACCTTGCTCAAAGAGGATTTTCCATTTCCTTCATCTGGGCAGGCCTCCAGGAAGAGAATGTCAGTATCATGGGAGTGTCACTTACTAAGGATCGTGGACCACATGCTCTTTCTGGTACTGATAGCATCCTCTGGAGAATAACAGACCGATGAGTGGATGGTCCAGGCAGAAGGTGGGGTCTGCCTGGCCAGGATGTTAGGTGATCTCAGAACATTAGATGGTATCGGTTTTTCTTGTGAATTAAGTTAATGTTCCGGTTGTTTATCAGAATTGGCGTTCAGAGTTGGGAATATGGGTAGATGTTGGGGAGGATGAAGGAAACGGCACCACACTGGATCCTGGCTCCTCTTCCTGTTGACAGGTCTGGCTGGAAATCAGTCCGGTGTAACCAGAGCTTTCTTACTGGGCTCCAGTAATTTATCCATGTGCCCAGCTCTGAAAAGGAACACTGTTCACCTTGTCCTCTTTATTTAATTACTCTCCTCCTCCTTTTATGTCAAATTGAATTGGCACTAAACGACTTTTTCCTTTTTTTTTTTCTTTTTCTGATTTGGATCCAAAAACACATAGAAGTCCTAAGGATTATATCTTAAAGTCCCTAACCTAGTTGGCCTTGCCCAGATGAAGTCTAAAATTGGGCAGTCACTTGGCCTGGGCTGTCTTGGGGACTTGATTCCATAGCCACATTATTGTGGAAGCCCCTAGCTAGTGGCTTTGGCTGGCATTTTCTTCTAGGAGTTTTCTGTCTGTGTTGGTATGGTGCTGTCGGGACACTTTTCATAGAGAAAGAACTAGGGGACTCTACCTGCAAACCTGGTTGGGAGAGGGGGAGCCTGGGGGTCTGATGCCTGGAATGTCCCCAGGACATCTGAAACCCACAAATGGCATAAAATATTATTAGTACCTGAAGTTTCATTATTAAAAGGCTTGTTGTGCTCTCAGAGACCTATTATTATTTTTCCACTGAATGACCATACTTAGCTGAGATAATTGCATGTAACTGTGTCTTCATGGGGAACCCAGTTAGGGTATAACTGAACATTTCTAGCACACTGTATATATTCAACAACTATCAGTTCCCTCTCATACCTGGATAAGGAGAGGTATTGAAGGTCTGGGCCTGGAATGAAGAGAAATGATATTGAAAAGGGTAGTTTTTTGTACATTCAGAGCAATTTATGTTCTTAAGATGTTTCTTAACAAATAGAATTATTTAAATCAGTTTTGTTTGACTGGTTGGTGTGTGGGGTGCCCAATGGGTCATTATTTTAAGTTGTTGAAATGGTTTGGATTGTAGAAGGCACCGTGTATTCCTAGAACAATAAATATACATTATAATGGTGCATTTTGATGTTGCAGAGAAGTAGAGTTGTTTTTGTTTTGTTTTTTATTCCTCACCTGAAGATATTTTTCTATTTATCATTAGCTAGAGCGGGAGGGAGGGAGAGAGAGCAAGACAGAGAGAAACATCAGTGTGATAGAACCACAGTGACTGGTTGCCTCCAGAGTGACCCGACCAGGGCCAGAGACGAACATCAACAGAGGTATGTGCCCTTGACTGGAATTGAACCCACTAGTCATTGGTCCACAGGCCAGTGCTCTAACTGCAGAGTCAAACCTGCCAGGGCTAGAGTTGTTTTTTAAAAGATAATTATGTGCCCTGGCCGGTTTGGCTCAGCGGTTAGAGCATTGGCCTGCGGTCCAGAGAGATCTGGGTTCGGTTCCCACTAAGGGCACATACCTTGGTTGCAGTTTGTCCCCGGCCCTGGTTGGGTTGTGTGGGTGGCAACCACTGGATGTGTACCTTTCATGTCGATGTTTCTCTCTCTCTCTTTCTCCCTCCCACTCTATCTGAACAAAAAATGGAAAAATGTCCTTGGATGAGGATAAAAAAATACAAAAATAAAAGATAATTATGTGACTCCTAATTCAATATGCAATTGTAAATATTCCTCACTCCTCATATGTTCTCTCACAGTTTTATGAAAAATAAATACAACTAGTGTGAATTACATTGAAGTTGGAAGATTAAAATCCTTCTCTAGATTTGATGGTTTCTTTATTGGAAGAAATTTGGTAAAGCAGATGGTAGCCCAGGTAGGTCTCATGAACTTCATGCTTCATCCTTTTCTTTCCACAACCTGTCTAGATACTCGTAACTGGAAGCACACCTAGAATAGAGAGAACCTGTGCTCACCCCCTCTTGAATTTCTTATTGTTGGTCACAGAGGTCGGTAGAGATTGAAATATGAATGACTTAGGAGACGATGGAGACACCTCGCGCCTGGTCCGGGAGCAGGGGCTTCCGGCTGAGAACAGACACCCAGATTCTCATCGCGCGCCGACCGCTCCGGAGCCATCGCAAGCACCTTTCCGTCTCTGCGCCTTCGCCTCTGTGCCTTCAAAATGAAGAGTTTTCACTCCCTCAAACAGCATCATTTAAATGTACAGGGTGGGGAAGGTAGGTTTACAGTGGTTCAGATGGAAGATAATGCAGTAATTAACACATAATGATACAAGAATAAACTGTTTCTTGTACTCACAACTGTAAACCTGCTTTTGAACCCCACCCTGTATTAGTCCTAATAGGAGGCTTTCGGAATCACATCAGGGTTCAAATCCCAGCCCTGCCACTCATTAACTGTGTGTCCTTGGAGAACTTGCCCAATGTCTCTGAGTCTTATTTACCTCTTCTGTGAAATAGTGCTGATCATACCCACCCTGCAGGATAGTGGAGAGAATTAAATTAGATGTGTGTTAAGTTTTCGCCCAGTGATTTCTCTCTAGTAACTGGCAGCTATAACGCTGTTAGGATGAGACATTTCACAAAACAAAACTTATGGTGATGTGTTGCTGAAAGCAGCAGGTGAACAGTCGCAACTTGCTAGTCTCTTCGTAGAGATGTTTCCTCTGTAATACGAATTGTCATTAACTGCCGATGTCACTGCATTGACCGTGAAGCCGGTGATGGATGGTTAAAGCCTTCTGCTTCTCTGACATGCACGGTGAAGGTAACAACATTTGTCAGAATTATTCACGGGCATGTGCTGAGGGCCCTGGAATTTTAGGTGAATTTTTTCATATTAGTCAAACTGAAAGTCACAGTGAGTTTGGAAGATATGATAGTCTCATCTATAAAAAGAATAGGGAGATTCCCAAAGGCTATTGATATGAGTGGAACTCTAAAAAATAAAAGCCTTAAAATACATTTTGATGTAGTTAACATGTCTAGGCAGTACAAGGTAAAAATGATCTAGTCTGATTCCTTGAAATTAAGGATAGAATGAGCCGGAAGATAGATAAATACATTCCTATCTCTTCTTTCAGCAAATATTTACTGGGTGTGTGCTGTAAGCGAGGCACCCACAATAGCTGAAGGACCTGCCAGGAGAGAGAGGTGAGAAAAGAGGCAACTGCTGTACCTGGTGGTCGTGGCTCTCAGTGGAACCACGGGATGCCCTGGATGCAAAACACAGTGGCGTTTTCTGGGATCAGGGAACCAACCCTTCATCCCGAGACTGGAAGCTTTTAACTAAGAAGTAAAGTGAACGTATCAGTTGGCATATACTGTGTAACAAGCCTCCCGATGTTTAATGACTTTGAACAACCAACATTGTTTCTTGCGATTCTGTGGTTTGGTCGGGCTGTTCCAGTCTGGCTGTTCTAGTCGGATTGGGCTAAGACGGCCTCACTCACGTGTCTCACTATCCTGAGGCCGGTTGGCCTGAGGGACAGGGAGCTGCAGCTGGGACGCCTTGTCCCTGCTCCATGTGGTGTCACCCTCCAGCAGGCTGGTCTGAGCTCCTTCACAGTGCAAGCTCAAGGTTCCCAAGGGCAGCAGGAGAGGACAAACCAGCACACAAGTGCTTGTCAACCTCTGCTCACAAGGGGCTTGCTAATTCCCCTTTGACCAAAGCAAGTCGCTTAATTAGCAAGTCATGGGTTCAAGGGATGGAGGAAATACTGGCTGTAGTACTTGATGGACAGCGTGTGCGAAGCTCAGAGGTAAGAGAGGAGGTGAAGTGTTGGAACACCACAGGTAGTTAGAGTGGCCAGAGGAGAACAGGCAGAGTGTGTCAGGGGAAGGCCAGGTGATGAAGTGTCTTTGCAGTAAGCTCTGCGGAGTTCAGCGTTTGTCTTGAAGACAGAAGAGTCATTGACAGATCTGAAGCAGGATGTTGATGTGATCAATACGATCTGTAGAAACATGGTTAGATGGCCAAAGCCTAAATCTTGTGTTAGCCTAGGGGTGGTTCCAAGTCAACATGTACCTTCTAAACAGTTTGACCAGAAAAGAGGGCGGAGGCCCTGCAGGTCTGTCGGCAGAGGCAGAGGCTCAGGGCATGAGCACTGTGTGTGTGCAGTCAGCTGGGAGAACTCGGGACATGTGGAGGGAGCCGGGTCTTGCCAGCAACGGTCATCCCCTCAGTCCTTGGGGATCCTGCCAGACACCTGTGTCCTGGGGCTTTAAATAAACGTTTACCTGCTGATGGGCTGAGTGAAAGACAGTCTCTGAAAGTGTATTCTTCTGGTAGATAATATCATATCATCACCCCAAAGGACTCTTTTCTTTCCCTAGGACCTTAAAATAGACAATGTGTTCCAGGGCCCTTGGGCGCCCTAAAAAAAAATCCTTCTCTACTGTCGGGTGAGACCCGTGCTCTCCCATTAATTTCAAGAACTGACCTCTTAACTGGGCTATTAAGTATAACTCTTTAAAAATACTAAAATAGAAATGACTTTCATTTCACTAAAGTCAAGTCACCAAGAGTGAGAACTTGTGGTTTTCACCGGTACGTTTGGGAGCCTTTGTTGTCACTGAAACTGCGTGCTGGCGGGGGTGGTTAGCGGGCTGCTTCTCAGGCTTGGGCGCTAACTCAGATGTTCAAAGTGCTGTCCTTATAGATAAAATGGGGAAGGGGGCCACCCTTCTGTGTGCATTATGCAGATAATAATTTGCTGTGTTTTCTCTCTAATTTTTCAGTAAAAAAGTAAAATACAGAAAAGCATAGGCACGGTGGTGCAGGCTGCTGGGGAGGGCTCATGACATCTGCCCTCTGTGCCTTGAGGGACACCCTCCCTGCCCATATAAGTGCGCACAAGCAGAACTTCAGGGGACAGAGGAAGACAAGAAGGAAGACGAAAACGCCAGAACATACTCCTCTGGGGCAGGCAGGGCGCTGTGGTAGCTCAGAGTCCTGCATCTTCCCCACCTAGAGTCTCCACCACCTTCCATAAAGGCGCTTCTTGTGAGATGGACACTTGGGCACCGTGGCGCTTCCTTTTCCGCCCGCTGATGGGAGCGCTAAGCCAGCGCTGATGTCAGTGGGGCACCGCTCTGCCTGGCTGGGGCTGGGGCCGCAGCTCCTGTGTGTGCCAGGTGTTATCCCCAGGCACTGGTACCTGAATGAGGTGCATTTTCAGAGACGGGAGAGTTTGAGAAACCCCAGTGGCGGGGAAGAGGCGAAAGGCATTTGTTCGCTGCTGAGAAACAGCTGCGTTTTAGACATTTTTGAAGACTGATAACAAAATGTGACAGGGGACCTCATAAATTAAAGGGCCCAAATTTGGTGAGCTTCATTATCATGCGAGATGGAAACGAAAACACGGCGTGTGCTGGAATTCCTGATTCTGCTTATTTGCTTTAATAGCAGATCGTTGCATAAACACTGACTCACGGCGTTTGATACCGAAAGGAAGGCATGGTGTGCTCGCTGTGGTCTGGCTTCCCGCTCCGAGTCTCGAGTCTCGAGTCTCGTGCAGGTGCTGGGAGAAGGGGCGAGCCCGCAGCGCAGGTGACTGAAGGAGCGACGGACCGCCATGGGTTTTTGTACCGACCCACACCCTTGCATGTAGTTTCGCATGAAATAGTAATCAAAACCATAGATTTCTGTATACATACTTAGATTATACTAGAATGTATAGTGTATTGGCGAAAGAACATAGAATCTTATTTTTAGAAGTGGGTGAAGATGCAGGTGTGTGTATTCTGCCACCTGTGTGATATTTCACTAGGTTTTGTCAGCTGATACTCTTACCCACCTGTGCGTTCTGTGGTACCTTAAGCAATGGAACCTCGCTCATCCACAAGGGACATGGGTGCTCAGTTAAAGCCAACACTGCGATCAAAACCACCTGCTGCTGTTTGCCTTTTTAGAAATGTTCATAACACAGTGAAGTCTGAACGGGTGGGACTTCTGAACAAGCTTCCAGTTGCCTCCTTGACTAAGATATAGAGGCAGTCATTGTAATGAAGTAATGCCCGTGAAGATTCTGAGTATCTTATAAGCAAATGAACTATCTCAAGTCAGAATATTGTTGCTCGCCCACCTTTCTTTTATGCAAACACACACACACACACACACACACACACACACACGGCCCCCTGGCTACTGTGCTGAACTCAAACACACACACACACACACACACACGATGGCCCCCTGGCTACTGTGCTGAACTCAAACACACACACACACACACACACACACACACGATGGCCCCCTGGCTACTGTGCTGAACTCAAACACACACACACACACACACACACACACACACGATGGCCCCCTGGCTACTGTGCTGAACTCAAACACACACACACACACACACACACACACACACACACACGATGGCCCCCTGGCTACTGTGCTGAACTCAGCCCAGCTACAGAGCGCATGGCGGCTTGCATGCAGCGCTGTCCCGTCTCACTGTATGGTAAGGACATGAGGTCATAGCTGAGGCTGTAATTTTCTTGACTTCAAAGCCCCTTTGATTCGATCTGTGTTATCTATGACATCATTCACAGATCTGGATTCTTCCAACCTAGCCTACTCATGGTAGCAACCAAAAATGCAGAGTTCCAAGGCACATATATTTACTTTTTACATCTCACCGTCAAATTTACAAACCATATTTCAATCTGTGAAACTGAAAACTCAGATTCGTTTCCATGATTAAATATGTCACCATGGTTGAACATTGCTTAGCAGAAGCCCCTTTTTTCTTCTGATAAAACTCTTTTCAAGGTTTGCGGTGTGAATTTTTTTTCTATTGCTGGGACTCCTTCATCAGGGAGAGTGTTCCATGAAATGCTTGTATGAAAACCCGTGGTAAAGCTATCTGTGGCATGGGCAAAATCTCCAAATAGGCACAGTTTGATTTCGGCAGCTCCGCCTGTCCCTTCTGCCTTTTGGCTGTGGTCTTTCCCCTCTCCCAGCGCCTCAGATCACTGCAGGTACTTTGGTTGACCTGTGAAGAAACAGTCTGATAAGAACACATTAAGTTGATAGAAACTTTGGCCAGGAACTGCATTTTACAAGGGTCTGGAGACCCAAGGATTGAATTTTTTTTTTTTTTTCTTTATGGTGGGGAGATCTTTGGAGTGTCATTTTTTTCAAACATATTAGGAACCAAGCAGCGACCCAACTAATCAATAAATGCCACCCAATCTGCCTTCTCTCCAGT